GCCGATGGCAACGAAGCAAGACTAGAAGGGACCAGAGTCCAACGAATATTCTTTATTTTGTTTATTTATTTATATTGAATTGATTATTTATTTCCATGTTAGTACCCGCAGATCTTTCGTTCTTGGGGTTACTCCTCCGGATGTTTATATGTTTGAACCAACCCCACGAATCTTTCATTGGCTTGAAATTAGTCCTCCAAGTTTGCCAATCTGATGCTAGGTAAGGGGCTTATTTTAGAATAATTAGATGATTTGCCAGACTTGTTTCAAAATATGAAAATTTTTGAGGGAGCTCTATTCGTTAAAGAATAATTTGTAACATTACCCTATAAATCTCAGTATTTGCAAAACTATCCCTCAAATTATCAATATCAGGAAAACTAACACTCAATTTAATTATTCATCAACTTTGATAAGTTAATTTCTAATTGTAATGTAAAAATTATCAACAATATAGTGAAATTTTTTAGAACCAAGTTGAGCTGATTTTATGGGTATTTTTTTACACAAAGTTGATGATTTGAGGGGTAGTTTTGCAGATATTAAAAGATGAGGATATTGTTGTAAATACTCAATATTTATGGGGGAAACATGAAAATAACCCTTTCAAATAAGACCAATAAACTTTGAGACAGGAGAATGATTATAAAGATTGAATATTTTTCATACTAAAAAAGATTACTCATTTATTGAATAAGACTTTAGGAACTATATGTAATGCATAGCATGTTCCTATGCAATGACTCGATAAGATTTTCACAGGGACCTTGTGACAAGGATACCCGACGACATCAATAACTTCTACACTTTTCATGTTATGACTCAATAAGATTTTCACAGGGACCTTGTGGATAGTTTCAATTTATTGCTCATTTTACTAATTTAAAACTATTATTAATTTTTACAAAGCAGAAAATTAATAGAGAAAAAAGTATCATATTATATGCTAAGTGTTTTTAGTCACTCTTATTAATTGATCATTGAATATAATTTTTCTCTTAGTAAAGTGAAGGGTTAATTTTAGAAAAACCCCCTCAACTTTTTTAAATTCCCCCCCCCCCCCAAAAAAAAAAAAAAGGAACAAAAACAAATTTTTTTGGGTGTTGTAGATAACAAACCTTGAATTTCAAAATATGATGAAAACGTACTTAACTATGGGGTGTCTCATAAAATCCCCTTCTTTACAAAGTTTTTCATATAAACCCCTGATATTGTTAATTCAAAATGTGTAATGATTAAAATACCCTTGTTTTAAAGAGAAACCCACATGAATTTAAAAAGCAAATCCAATTAAAATACTAGAATTTCAATTCGATGGTTTTCTTGAGGAAACAAAGATTAGAAAAATTCGATTGTTCAAAACATTAAAAACAAGGATAATTACAAAATAAAAGAAGTTAGCATTTCAAAACATAAAGAAAAAAATTGAATTCCCGCATGAACCTAGAAATGGATGTAGAGGGAGAAGAAGAAGAAGAGAGGGGATAAAATGGGAGGTATTTTTAACAAAAAAAGTTGAAAATAACACAATGGTAAAAAATTTAATGCCTTGGATTGTATCGTTATTTTTAATTCATGTGTACCTTCAGATTTAATTTTATTAATTTAAGGGATTAAGGGAGAAAAGTTAAGGGAGGATTAGTCATATTTTAAAAGTTCAAGGGCGTTATATACAACCCTAAAATTGACATGGGTTTTGTGGAGTTAAAATTTCTGGGTTCAGCTGTTGTGCGCGGCGGAAGCTTCGAGGCAACACGAACAATAACTCGAGATAAATCACAACCACTAAGCAAATCACAATAACAGCAAGAACAAACTATTTACATGGTTCGGCAAGTTGCCTACGTCCACGGGGCAAGAAGGGGGGAGTTCTTACTATAAGATTTCAAGAGAATACAAATAGAGTTACAAATCTCACCGATCAAACTCTAAAACAAAGCTCTAGATCTCTCACAAATCTCTCACAATTAGATGCAGCAATCCTCTCCAAAAGACTGCTCAAAATCGTCTTTTCTTAACCCTAACTAATCAGGATTAGAGTTATATATCAGCTCCAAAATGAACCGGGTTAAAAACCCAAAGCCCAGCCCAAACAGCCTGCGGTAGACCACGGCGGTCGACCGTGGCGATCGACCGTGCAAGTATCACGGTTGACCGCAACGGTCGACCGAACACTCCCGACAGATAACAAATCGGCTACAAAAAACTCACGGTTGACCGCGACGATCGATCGAACCAAACGACAGAGCCCAAAATTTCTACAGGGTCCACGCAGTCGATCGCCTTCAGCTCCCAGCTCTTCTTGACCCTTGTGCACGTTCGCGATCGACCGTCGCTGACTCGCGGTCGATCGCCAGTCTGCTTGGCTGAATTTCTGGTTTGTTTTCTTTAGCTGTTTGCCAATTCTTCAATTCTCCCCCTCGGCGAATGTTTCTACCAACACTGAGCCGACACCATATCATCCAAAAGTCTCGCAACAAGTTCTGGAACCAAACTAGAGCTAAAATGCGATCTCCCCTTATCTGAATCAACATATCAAACCGGCTGCATCTGAAAGACTGCCTACGTATCCTCTTGCACAAGGAATCAAACCGAACATAGTTCACCCAATGGCCTCCAAAAGCATTAATCCACTAGAAGAGTTCGCAATCCTTCTCCAACATCACGATTAAGTCTACGGCTGATAGCACCTCCAATGGCCCCAAACTAAAATAATCCAAACATCTCCACCTGAGATGAACTAATGGCCATATCCAGACTCCATCTATCAACTACACTCGAATCGATCAACCTATCATCTGCATCCAAATCAACATGATTTACAATCTGTGTCACATCAGTTGGAATCCCAAATGATGCAGTATGATCTGGAGTCTCCACCCAGCGTGGAATAGCATCACTCTCCACCCGCTGCGATGTCCCAAATATCTGATCATCACTCTCCACCCGCCGAGAGTCAAACGTGACATACCTGCTCAGAACAAAGTCAGAAGCTAATACCTAATAATCAAACACGCCTCTGACTCCCAAATGTGTTATCCGATCAAATCTCACATCCACGATATTACCAAGTGCTGGGTAGCCAAACATCCGACGCAATCTAAAATCTGAAGCAGCTCCACCAGATCCAAAATCTCTACATGCAGCAGTCGGCAACCTATGCATAAGATGGCCCAAACATGTCGTAGTCCACACACCAATGTCAATCCTCCTCCAGCAAGGAACAGCTTCCCAAATCTGCCATCTCATCACGTCGCCTTAAAGTTTCCACACCAATAAAGTGTCTCCAATTGCCGTGAGCTCGGCACAAACGCAAGAAAGAACCACTACCATAATCAGAACGTCGGGTTACCTTTCTATCAACACACTTCCTCCATCTGTTGCGGGTTTCTAGGACTTCACACCAACGGGACTTGGTTACAACCCACCAATACCTAGAACAATCCCCAACTACGAAAACCACATATCTATTACCTCCCAATAATGCTCTCTTGGAAGGCCCCCGAATGCTTGAATGAACACCCCTCAGAAGACCCCTCGAATGATGGATAGAAGTGCCAAACTCCACCCCGATCTTCTTGCTCATACCAATGGGTTCACAAGACTTCAAACTACAGGTCAAAAACACTCATCAATAACCTATGCACGACATTACCAATTAAATAACCCAGCATCAAACAACGCCACAGTCTAGCCGAATCTAATAAAGTCGTTAGCTCTCTATCAATCACCGTGATTCCGAGCAAATAATACAAATTGCTCCTTCTGATACCCTTCATCACAATCATGGACCCCAATGTGACCTTCAAACGTGCATCCATCAAGGTCACCTTATAGCCTGCTGCCTCCAAATCTCCAAGTGAAATGATGTTCATCTTCAATTGTGGAACGAACCTTATATCATCCAACTCTCGCATCATCCCGTCACTCATCTTAATCCGAATGGTACCAATACAACCAATAGAGCATGCATGTCTATTACCCATGAGCACAACTTTCTCTTTTTCCAACTCCTGAAAGCTGGAGAACAAATTCCTCCTAGGGCAAATATGGTAAGAAGCACTCGAATCTAACATCCACTCCGTAGAGTCGGCATCACAAACTGATGATAGTGCAGATAACGAATAGTCTGAAGAATCCAAATCTGAATTGTTTCCACTAGTCTTGACAACATTCACCACTGAAGCTTGTACAGCTTTCCCCTTATTCTTCTAATCTCGATCTAACTTTGGGCATTCAACTTTCCAATGTCCATCATCTTTACAAAAAGCACACTGATTTCTACGAATCCCACGATGTGCACCTCTAGACTGCGATCTCCTACTTCGGTTTGAACCACGGTCTTGAACTACTAATGCATCTCCCGATGCCTTCTCAGAGGACTCATCAACACTCTTCCTCAACTCATAATTCACCAACGCTGAGGTCACCTCCCTGTAGCTAACAGTAGTTCTTCCATTAATCATAGTGAGAGCAAAGGTACCATAATCATCCTCAGGCAATGAACACAAAAGTAGCATCGCTTTGTCTTCATCCTCAACCATGATATCCATATTGGTCATGTCTGAAAGTAGCTTCGTGAAGTTGTTAACATGCTCCCTGATGGAAACTCCCTTCTTCATATTGAACTAGTAAAACCTCTTCTTCAAGTGAAGCTGATTCTCAATGCTCTTCGTAAGATACTTCTCATTGAGTGTTTCCCATATTCTCTTCGCCGACGTCTTGTTCATCACATCATAAATAAGATCCAGCGTCAAGCATGACCGAATAACTCCACACGCCCTACTATTCATCTTCTTCCAAACATTTTCTTCAATATCAGCAGGTTTCTCTTGCAACTCAAGAGTCTCTTCCAAGTTTTGAGCGTCCAACGCATCCATCACCTGGCACCTCCACAATCCGAAATTGATCTTGCCGTCGAACTTCGGAACATCAATCTTCGTGTTATTGATGCTCAAACTATGTA